AGCATGTGGTAGACAATTTAAAAAAAATAATTCAATTACAGTCATGTGTCCTTAATGATAGGAATATATCCTAAGAAATGTGTGGTTAGGCGATTCTGTCGTCATGTGAACATCATAGCGTGCACTTGCTCAAGCCTAGATGGCATAGCCTACTACACACGTGGGCTACATAGTGTAGCCAGTTGCTCCCAGAATACAAGCCTGTGCAGTACTCTACTGTACTGAATAATGGAGGCAACTGTAACAGTAAAAACCTGGCATAAAAGATTAAAAATGGCACACCTGTGCCATGAATGGGAGCTTGCAGGAATGGAGGTTGCTCTAGGTGCATCAGTGAGGGAATGTGAAGGCCTAGGACATGACTGGCCACCACAGTAGACTTAATAAACACTGTACCCCAGCATCACCAAGAATGCGCAAGAAATGCACTGTGCTACCTTACAGTGGCTATGAGGATGCTACTTGGCGATAGGAAGTCTTCATCTCCATTGTGATTATGGCACCACCACTGTATACGCAGTCCATCATGACTGAACGTCAGACTGCATCACATGACTGTGCTCTGTTTTTACATTGCAATATGGTATGGAAAGTGTCCTGATGGTTAGTACTGGGTTAGATACAAAACTCCTTTCAAAGAACTAATGCTTACAAATATGTTAAAATATTTTAAATCTAGATAGTTCAGGTCTAGGTTTTAAAAGCAATATTTCCTAGATGGATTTTTTTTATGTTAAATATATCATATGTTATAGCTTACCCTATATTTAGCTAGGAAGAAAAAAATACGTAAGAGTATGCAAGTACAAGAAAGAGGTAAAAGCTTGGTTGCATAGAACTTTAGCTGCTAAGTTCTGTCAACATATTTTATGAAAGGGGCTCTACATATATTTACCACCTCCTACTCAAGTAGAATTAAGCGAAATAGTTAAAAAGCTACCAAGTTAATCCTGGCCAGTATGGCTCAGTGGTTGAACATAGGTCTATGAACCAGGAAGTCATGGTTCGATTCCCTGTCAGGGAATGTTCCTGTGTTGTGAGCTCGATCCCCCAATAGGAGGCATGCAAGATGCAGCTGATCAATGATTCTATCTCATCATTGATGTTTCTGTCTCTCTTCCTCTTCCTTACTCTCTGAAATAAATAAAATACATATATATTTAAAAGCTACTAAGTTCAGAGTAAGAGCATAAAATGTGATCAAACAGGAAAAATGAGACACTTTTTACAGAAATGTTTAAAAGTACCAGTGACCTTTGTGACCTAAGGCTCAAGTATTGCATAAGGACAGTAGGTCTGGTACAGCGATTTTTTTTTAATATATACCATTCAGGTTTTTGATGTGCACACAATAAATATTTATTTAAAGAATATATGAAGGAAAGAATTAATTATACAAAACTAACAACTAGATCCTGTTATAATTTTTCCTTTTTTAAACTAGCTTAATTTCACATTGAGAACTTTTAGATTTTGACATCAAATGTCATTTTGACTAGTGTATCACTTTTATTAGAATAACTTTAGTCTGTAAAGCAAGGCACTCATAAATCATTTTTCAGCATAACCTCTCACATCATTCACAGAGAATATGTAGATCTTTATGACTTCAATTTAGCAAATTGCAAATCCAATCTTATAGTTGTTTGACAGCTCACTAGAGAATTCAATAAATGAATCAGATGAATTCCATATAATCTCATCATCTAAACTAACAAGGACAGAGTATGGGCATTACTTGCACTGATAATAGATTTAAAAAGAAAATAAAAAAACTAATTCATCTGACTTTGTATCTCAGCTTGAGGGTAGCAGGGGGGAGTTCTTAGTGAAATAATTCACATTAAAACAGCATGATTGTTTTAACACTAGAAAAAAGCCATGCTAAAAACATAAAGCTTAATTGTATATTTTAGTTTTAATTTTGCCATTATATAGACATAACCTTAGAAAATACCTAATTTTTTATTTAAATATCCATTACAGTTTGGTGTCTGTTACCTCATTTTTATAGTTAGAAAAATAAATCGATCGTGCTATTTCCTGTTGAAGCAAAGAAAAAAAGTTTAGAAAGTAACAAGAAAATACATTTTTTTCTTAAAGGATCTTGAAGTTTAGAAACAGGCTGATTTGACTAAACATATGTCATTTCATTTGGAGTTAATGTCTACAATATATATCACTAATTATGTACAAATATCACATATTTAGAGGGACTGATTATTGTAAACTTTTATTATATTTTTAAAGATTTTTGAAATTCAATTTAATGTGATCATGTGCTCCATACTTTTATCTTTTGAGAGTGACTTATAATAACATGTTCAGAGCACTCTAGTGCAAGTATTTTATTTTTTCCTGTGGTCATCCTTATCAGGATGAATTCTAATATTGTGAATATGTACTATAAATTAAACTGGATTACAGATCTTTAAAGATATGTATAGCTAGGTGCTATAATGCCACCCAACATACCTGCCTGAGTGAAGAGATGTATACTTTAGCACACACTTTTTAAAGTGAGTGTATTTCATGAGAGGAATTTTCTATTTTATATGTAATTACAAATCACTTCTATTTCATCACACTGTAAAGTTATTTTGAATATGAATTAGTGAAGAATGTTAAATTGTAGCAGTAAATTCAGAAAGAAAGCCAAGCTGAGATTTTGAGCAAGTAGGCCTTCCTGATTTAAAATGCTGTTTTCTTATGCAATACGGAACAATTCTTAGTTCCTCTGAAACTTTGTTCGTAAATAATTCTGGTTTGGAATTAGGGATTGTATTTTGAAGAAAGGAAGAAACTTGTAACATCACATTGGAGTTTTGATTATTCTATTGTATAATTACATAATTTCTTATTTAATATAATTTAGACTTTAAAAATAATATTCTGCTTTAAAAATTTTCACAAGGTCTTTCTTAAGATTCCTTCTTTCATCTCTAAAATCAGCAATTAAAATCAGTTTCAACTATTTTGCAAGTGGGCCTCATCTTTTGTTTTTCTCTCCCTGAATTGTGTTTACATTAGCTTTAAACACTTGCCTTGAGGAGGAAATAAACTTCTACATTCTTAGGGAAAACTGTTAAACTAGAAGATCTAACACAGTAATTCTCAAATTAGTTTAAAGAACTTATGGCTTAAATGAATATGAATTCTAATTTACTTACTTTGAGCTTGGCAGCTATTTTTGATTAATTTGCATTTTGTACATTAATTGCTTCCCTCAATCTCCTGTCAGATTTATTATAGTAGGGAACTTATATTCTTTTAAACCCCACTCTATTATTCATTTAAACAAAGATAAAAGATCAGTCTAGAAAATTAAGAAGTAAACTGCAGTTGGCAAAAGATAATAAATAGAATAAACACATGCACTTATATTATTTGTGTATGTATGTATATGTATGTGTGTGCAATATATATAGATGAGGATATAGAACCATTGCAACTCAATAGTAAAAAGTCAGACAACTGGAGTGTTTTAAAAAACGGGCAAAAGATTTGAAAAGATATTTCACTGAGGAAGACATGTGCGTGGTCAAAAAAAAGCATGAAAAGATACTTAAAATCATTAGTCATCAGGGCACTGGAAATTAAAACCATTATAAAATACAACTAGATACTCAGTAGAGTGGCTAAAATTTTAAAAGACAATACTAAGTGTTGGTGAGAAGATAAAGCAACTTCACCTTTCATGCATTGCTAGTTGGAATGTAAAATGGTACCACCACTTTGAAAAAAACAATTTGGCAAATATTTGAAAAGTTAAATATATACTTACTTAACATATGACATTGATTATTTGTCTTAAGGGAAATGAAAATTAATGTCCAAACTTGTACTCAAATGTTTATAGTAATTTTGCTCATTATATCCAAAATCCAATCCCAAATATCTACCAATATATAAATAGATATACAAAATATAGTATATCTAGTATAATGAAATACTATTCAATTACAAAAAGAAACAGATTGCTGATACTTGCAATAATATGGATGAATGCATATTAGTGAGCCAAAGAAGCCAGACACTCTCTGATTCCATTTATATGAAACTTTAGAATAAAGTTAAATCTAATATGGCCCGTGGGTAAGGTGATTTACTAAAAAAGAACTGATATATTTTAGTTTGATGGAAATAATCTATAACTTTATTAATGTGGTGTTTATAGGTTTACTCATTTGTCAAACTTATTGACCTTTACATTCAAAATAGATGTATTTGTGTGAATTATACCTGAATAAAGATGAAAATTTTAGTGTTTACAAATTTTATTTATAGTTGATTCTTAAAGGAAAATAGCTCAATTGATGAACACCTAAACATAATATCAAAATTAAGTCCTGTTTAAAACTTTAAAACTTCTCCAAAAGAAATGAATTAATTCACTAACTCTCCTTATTTTAGTTTTTCTTTTTAAATCTAAAACTAACAAAACTACATTTACCCCCTTTTATTTCTTATCTCTAAAGTTATAGTAACTTACCAAAAAGCTAGTGCCTCTCTCTACATATATTTACCCACCTAAAGTATGTTATATCTCAAAAAGTTTTATGAAATTTTTGTGTTATAAAGAGGACATTACTATGGAAATCTTAAGTTCAATGGTACAGGAAATTAGGACTTTGCTGCCATATGTAGAGCATCAAAAGTGTGTATAGTATTGTAATACATCTGTTTTGTTTTTTCCCAAGGTAATAATTTTTTTTATGATCTTTTATTTATTTTTTTCCTTTCTGTTCCTTTGGGCTACCACAAAAATTACTTTGATTGCTCAGCTAACCTCTCCTGCCATCCAGGCCTGCCATTTTAAGTATAGAGATGATTTTATATTATTTTATTTATTTTTTTGAGGCTTCATGGATTCTGATGAGATATCAATCTTGGTCACTTCATGGATCCTGAAATACCAATCTTGGTTACTTTTCTTAGCACTTTTTTTTTTTTTAAAACTGAACAGTCTAATTATATTAGTCTCTTTAACCTTCCTACAGATTTGTTATTGGGCGAGAAAAACCAGGACAAGTGAGCGAGGTTGCGCAGTTGATCAGCCAGACGCTGGAACAAGAAAGGCGCCAGAGAGAGATGCTTGAGCAGCACTACGCCCAGTATGACGCCGACGACGATGAGGTAGGCGGCCTGAGCAGACATTCTTTTCCTGCATTTCTTTTCCCTAGGTACCTCCTTCATAAAACTCTCTTTATAGTATGGCAGGTTCTTTACAGTTTCCCAAGAGCGTGTATGTAAGTTCAATCTCATGGAAAAGAAATATTACTTGCTTTTATATTCACATATGAATCAAATATAAGTATTCTGTTGATAGTGTGAAGACTTTGGAGTCATCTTTTATCACATTATTAAAAGAAATTCACTGAAACCACCACCTAAAAAAAAAGTAAAAATACCAAAAATGGGAATGGTTACGGTCTTTATGGTTTGAATTAGGTGGGGCGGTTTTTTCTGTGTTTTTGCAATTTTTATCAAGTTTTCAGCCAGTAAATAATTCTTTTTCCAGGAAAAAAAAAAAAATCAGTAAACATTTGTGTGAAAAAGCACACACATACAAACACAGAAAAGCACTAAAAATCACTGAGGTTTTTCAGGCTTTTCCTTTTGTCCAGGCAGAGAAAGTTCCTTGGATCTGCTCGTTATGATTTGTGCTAACACAATGCAGAACAAAGCTTTCCCACCAGCACATATTCCAGAGAGCAGATACATATTGGAATAATTTGGCATCCTGTTCTCTGTAGAAGATCAAGTAAAGGAATAGAAGCTAACCCCCAAGTGAAAACGGCTGTCAGAAACCCTTGTGTGTTGTAATATAATACAGATGCTGGTCTATTTCTAATGTAAATGCCAAGTGTACATTGATATAATGGGACAACATGCTTTATTTTAAATGTGCATGTGTTTCATATTGGCATATCAAAAAATCCTTCAACAATTTAGTTGTAGTATTTCATGCTCCATAAACATGGTAAATATTCAGGTAAAATAAATATTCTTTATCCCAGCTGATTCAAGGACTTCATATGTTCAACCTCTATTCATCTGAATTTATTCTATGTTCAGAACTTTTTAGGTTCCTGGCCAGAATGTAGTAAAGATTAGTAAACAGACATTCAAATATTTTAATGTATTTTTAATCTGGAATGTTTTAACCCAAATGCATATTAATTTTTCACGTGCTTGTAGTGTAATGAGGATATACTCTCCATTTCTTAGAGTAGAAAATTCAAAATGATGCATTAGTTAACTTTTGATCAAAGAGTACATGTAAAGTCTTTACATGAAAGTCTCCCATAATCCTGTTTTGTTGATTTTATTTTTTCACTTGCAGAATTTATTTGAATTGGCGAGTATTTTTTATTATGCTGAGATCTTATATATGAAAATGTTATCTTGGATTTAGAAACTAAAGAAATGATTTCCTCAAATACTTGAACATTCATCTTACCTAGTCTTCCATTCTCTGTGCTAGTGTTTTATGTTTTAGCAGAGGCACTGATTTGCTTTGGCTACAAGCCTATTTTAGGGCTGCAGAATGGATTCTGCAGGTCTGGTTTTTACCTGCTCACTCTGCTAGAAAGAATTTGGAGCTGAGGTTCAGGGAGTAGGGGTGACATCAGTGGTGGAGGCTGAGGAGACTAAGCTTTCTTGTCTCTGTGGGCCTCCCTGTCTCCGGCTGAGGAGCACAGGGAATGGGATAAATCTCTGAATTTTTTCCAGCTTCTAATATTCTGTGAGCCTATGAAATAAAGCATCTGGTGAAACAAGAAAAGGGGGAAAATAAAATAGGTTTTTAAGGTCTGTCAAGTGAAATTTTTAGATCATATACTACATACTTCTTCCAGTTATTTTGAGGAAGTGATCACATTCATCCCCCAAAAGTTTTCATTTCAAACAGGTAAAGTGCGCGAGCGCCCGCCCTCCCTCCCTCCCTCCCTCTCTCTCTCTCTCTCTCTCTCTCTCTCTCTCTCTCAGTAAATATAGCTATAAATATAAATACACATATCTATGTACATTATTTTCTAATGTAATAATTTTAGTAAATGCAAAAGGAATGTTTGTTACTCAACATTTATACTTAAGAAAACATCATGGATTTTTTTTTTTTTGGCCAATTTTTAAGGAAAGCAGTGTTGATTGTCACTTACGCAGATCTTTTCAGGGGGAACAGAGGTAAGTATTCAGTACCAGGCACTTTCCCCACATAATTTCATGTATCTTTACAGCAAAAAGAAGAGATTCTTTTTTTCTCTAGAAATGCAGCAGCTGAAGCTTTTTCTGGTGTTTGACAGAGTTAGGATGGGAAGAGGGATCTTCCGGACTCAAAAGCCTGGACCCTGCACCACGTTGCTCTTTCTGAACAGAGTGGACTGATGGGTGTGCCTGTGTTCAGGCGCACACAGACTCATTGGGTAACAAAAGATGCTGCAAAGAGGGCTCGTGCTTAAGGTGATGGAATATCTTGTAAGACTTTGATTCGGTGGCTCTATCCTATATTTCTAATAATAAGGGAATCTAATTCTTGAAGGGTTTTTTACTCTAGGCCAGTGGTCAGCAAACTCCTTAGTCAACAGAACCAAATATCAACAGTACAACGATTAAAATTTCTTTTGAGAGCCAAATTTTTTAAACTTAAACTTCTTCTAACACCACTTCTTCAAAGTAGACTCGCTCAGGCTGTGGTATTTTGTGGAAGAGCCACACTCAAGGGGCCAAAGAACTGAATGTGGCTCTCAAGCCGTAGTATGCCGAACACTTAGGCAAATACTTAATCTATAGGTATAATGTGAGGATAGGACCTAAAGATCATACAAATGTTTTACAAAAAATAGGGTTTAGATTTAGGTTAAACTTTCTCTTCTGTCTGCAAGTTGTAGAAATAAAAATCAGGTGCTACTACGTTACTCCAAGTAACCCTCATTTTACTGAATGTCATGGGACCTTTCCTCTGTCTCTCTCACTCATGCTCCTCTCTGTGTTACATGCTCCCTCTCTTGCTGTTGCACACCACTTCACTCAAGTGTGCAAAGCTGAAACCAACTGTTAATTTCCTGTGCATAGGAGAGATGAAGGCTGTACAAATGATTAAAAGTCACTTTTGTGTAAACATTTTATCTATGTGACTTAAATTCATTTCTTTTACTAATGCTACCAAATATTTTTAAATTGATTTGAGTGTTGTGTCCCTCTTTTTTATTTACTCTCTTTGTTAATAAAAAGTAAAATGTCCAAAAAATGTAATGGAAATGAGATTAATCATTACTGGTTATCCAGAGGGTAAATGGTCCTTGAATAATTTAGTTAATTTGATATCTACTTGAGTAATTCATTGATTAACAGAACTTTGTTAATCCTGAATTGTATAATCAATCAGTTGGTTTTTTCATGTTTCCTATTTATAGAATAATTCTGTGATTTCAAAGATAAAATCATTTTTATTTGACAGTATCCCCTGTGACATTCCCTGGGCCAGCCAGGAAAACCTCTAATTAAATGCAGAACCACCAAGTTCATCCAAGTAACTCCAGTGCCAGCATTTAGATCATCATTGTCTAAGAAGAATAGATAGCTTCTGGTTTTGGTCAGAATATCCAAGGTTGATTCTGACTTGGGACTTGTCACATTGACAGAGGGGAGTTGCTTGCTTGAACTGCCTACAGGGAAAACACTGTAATGTGATAAATATGTCCAGGAATTGTAAAAGTACAGTGGAACCATAGTTGGGATTAAAACTACTTTATCATGTATAGTATGTGCTTAGATATATCTGGTTTAATGCTTTAGGAAAGCATAAATGATACCCCAAAAGAATTAAAATATAGAAATAATACCCAAACTCTGAATTTCTGCATTTTTCTAGCTTTTCTTCTTCAAGTATTTAAACTACAAGAGTTTATAATAAGCAAACAGCCAATTCAACATAATTTGTATTCCTATATCTTTTTACACTCAATGTTAAACATTCTGATTCTTTAAAAGCAAAGTGGCTTTTTAAAATGGCTCTACCTGAAGGCTAAACGTGGCTTTTAAAAATGGCTTGTGAAAATGGTTTTACCTAAAGGCTAAAAAATAAAAGAGATTCTATAAAGAAGAAGATAGAAGTCTGAAAAACTGAAAAAATTTAAATGTATATCTGTGATTAGTGTTTGCATTTCTGGATTTAATAGAATTATTGTTCATTTCCCTTCTTCCCTCCCTCCCTCCCTTCCTTTTTCTTTTCCTTTTTCCTTTTTTTTTAAAACAATCTGGAAAGTAGCCATGGAGGATTTCAGTAAACCCTTCAAAGAGTTAGCACTGTCCTATGAAATTCTGGGGTATGGTAAATTTTTCAACTAGATTTTAGTTTTCAATAACAAATTAAATCTCCTGTCACACTCCACAACAATCAATCTTTAGCATTTGAGTGGTGAAGTGATGTAATTCTGGTATGTTTTGTGTCCTGTGGGTCTTCTGTGCATATCTGGGGCATCTCTATCAGAGTATTTTGCAACGTGAAACACTGTGGGCTCAGACTGGAAATGAAGCCTGAACTGGTACGGTACTGCTTTTTTAAATTAGAAAATAAAACATTGTTGTTATATTAAAATGGGCTATTTTACATGCACATTTTAAGTTATCTGATTATTTTGCTTTTGCCTCTTTCTATATCCTTTTAAACTATACCATTTATTAGGTTTTAAAGGCTTAGATTATAGATGGCATTTCAGTCTCCTTAGGCAGTATTTCATAACTATGTTAATCATCACTCCAATAATGGAGGCCCCCTTTTTAAAAAAACATAATTTAACCTTTCTGTAATTTCTTTCCATTACTGGAAGTTAATATCATTATAACTATATCATAACAATACTATAGTTAATTTTTTTAGAATCTTTTGAAGTATTGAATACAATTTGAAGCAGCTACCTACATGTACATGCATTTTCATTGCTTGTGTTAACGTAATAATTGAAGGCAAAAATATGATGGAATTATGGTTTGCACAAGTATTAAAAGGTTTACAAGAATAGAGTTTTTATGTGAAAGCATTAAAGAGATAGCATTATATTTGACTCATGCTGTTTGCTGTTCCTGGTTGAAAACAGCTTGTGTTGCTTGAACAAGAGATTGCAGTTATTATG